ATGTTTGGAGCACGGTGGTTTATAAGCTCACCTGAGCCTATTTACACAGTTAGGATACCAAGGTGAAACACTAATGGGCCAGGGTACTACACTTCCATAGTCTCCTTGCTGAGGCAATACAAGTTTAAATACAAGGGATAAGGGACAAAAGTTCTCTGATTCTAGCTTTGTCTTTCATTATGTTGTAGAACATCTTACCTAGCATTAATCAAGCCTATTTTTCTTTGATATTTAGGTTCCATGGGGAAAGAATGTTATTCTTGTGGGAGGGAAAAGTGATCAGCCTTCTGACAAGATATCAGGTTTGCCTCTACTATTTAATTTTCTGAAGTGCGTCAGTACATGTTGTTTATCTGATTCTCTGCAAAACTTCCAACATAAGCAATTAGGAATTCATCATTTGTTTTACTGCAGTATGGACCTTCAATACAGAGAGTGAACTCTGGTCACATATGGAAGCGAAGGGTGACATTCCGGTAAATATTTGACTGTTGATCTGAATGCCACTTAAAATACCATTGTAAATGATGGAGACTGTACCCTGATTATTAACCTCAGGTGTCTCGAAGCGGTCATACGGTTATTAGAGCAGGTCCTGTTTTAATTCTCTTTGGAGGTGAAGATGCCAAAGGGAAGAAACTACATGACCTTCATATGTTTGATTTGAAGTCATTAACATGGCTTCCTCTGAATTATAAGTAAGTTATTCTAGTCTAGAACTCAATAATAGTGTGATGTCATTACTAATGAAAGAAAAGAAAGCATGGAGGCTAATTTGTTTCCTCTTGGACTTTTCACTGTGCTTTAAAATACAAAAAAATGTTATAGTTATCTACCTATTGAATGCATTTTGAGCCATCCCTGGTTTCTCGCACTAAAACTCCTCAAGGATAGAATCATTATCTTACTTAACTATGCATAATTCTTTTTATTAATTCAAAGTTCATTGTTTTAGGGGTGCTGGACCTTCCCCAAGATCAAATCATGTAGCTGCACTTTATGATGATAGAATTCTATTGATTTTTGGAGGTCAGTCAAAGTCCAAGACCCTGAATGATATTCATGCTCTAGACTTTGAAACAGTAAGTACTGTTGTGCTACTTTATTGATTTTGCTTGTTAACAGCTTGCTGAAAATTTGATGTCCTTATATTGTTAGATGGTATGGTCAAGGGTCAAAACCCATGGTCATCATCCATCACCTCGAGCAGGTTGCTGTGGAGCTCTTTGTGGGACTAAATGGTATATTGCAGGGGGTGGAAGCAAGAAAAAACGTAAGCTCCATCCTTTCACATTGTTTCTATATCATGGCAGATTAGTGACTCAGTTCCATTTATTAATAGTATGTATGTTTCCTTATAAGAATTTATAATTTTGCTACTATGGATGGGCAATATCTAACAGAAAAAAAATACCTCAGGGCATCCTGAAACATGGGTCTTCGATGTCCTCGAATCCAAATGGTCTGTTTGTGTAGTGCCTCCTAGTTCCTCAATCACTACAAAGAAAGTAAGTATAATTCTTGCTTGACTTCACCTTTCATATTAAGTGACTAGCAACTCGCAATGAATTCACCTTTCGAGCACTCATGATTAGAAAGTGGATACAGTTTCTTTTATTTAAGATTTATGCCATCCTGAAAATCTTGAGCACTGCATAGTGCATATTATAAGATCCCTCCAAATATGTAATACCTATTGCATATGCATAGATAAAAGGCTTCAAATTACTTTTCAAACATCTATCTTTGTAATAGTTATTCATGGGAATTGTACTTCAATGGTGGACATTTGAATTACTATAACTTTAATATGCTGCCCATTATAGCAGAGAAAAGAGTCCTCATAGGAAGAATCCATGAGATTTATGTTTATTTATGTGTTAACCATTTCTCTAGTTGCTGCACAATTGAACTCAAAACTTTTGCAGGGTTTCAGCATGGTTCCATTGTACTACAGGGACAAGATTGTGCTTGTTGCTTTTGGAGGGAACAAAAAGGAACCATCTGACAAGGTGAAGGAACTGAACTTCATTGCAAAATGGAAGCTTCATTTTTGTGACATTATTTCAGGATTAATTATTTTGTTTTCGCATTTTATAATAGAAACACCAGGAACATTTCTATGATCAATTTCAGTATTAATATATTGACATTACTTTGTGTTTTTGAAGGTTGAAGTACTAGTGGTGCTGCAAAACGAGCACTGTTTCAGTTGGCGATCTGCACCTGAGGTGGAACCCTTACTGTATGACGACTCTCCTCCAAGCTCAAGGGAACTTGCTGACCACCTCAACAATTGCGCACCTCTGTACTCTACTAGCTCCGTAGCGAGGAGCAGTCTTGCCACCACAGCGGAAAACTCATCTGGGAGGAAATCCCTCCCTGATTCACTGCTACAGAATTCAAATCCCGGGAGCTCATCGCTCCGCAGGCAGTTTCGTCAGGAAGAGGACTGCAGCCTGGCCCAAAAACTGCAGAAACCAATCGACGACGACAAATACAAGGATGCCGATGATTGTTCTGAGCTACCCTCAATCGCAAACCAAAAACCACGTCACGACACGCCCCAGTCCCCAGATGTTGATGCTAAAGCGAGGAGGCTGGGCAGAAGTTCATCAGACATCAACAATCATCATCAGGATACGAGGATAACCACCCTGATCAGGAGGAACATGGCACTGGAGGAGCAGCTTTCAGCCGCGCTCACGAGCAAGGACGAAGCGGAGAAGAACCTTTCCCTGGTCATCGACAGCAAGGATGACCTGGAGAAGAGGTTGGCGGAGAAGGACAGGGAGGTCGAGGCGCTGAAGGAGAAGGCGGCCGGGTTAGAACTGGCGCAGGAGGAGTCGAACAACCTGTCCAACACTGTCCACGCCGACAACGTGCGGCTGGAGCGCGAAGTGGCCTTCCTAAAGGCCGTCATGGACGAGACCCAGAAGGCGAGAGAATCACCTAGATATATGTTCCATTTTCAGCTGATACTCTCTGTGATGTTGCCGTACTGATTGACTCGCTTGGTTTCATCCGTGATCAGGAATTGCACTCGACTCGTGGAGTTCTTGCAGGAGAACGCACAAGGGCATTTCAGCTTCAGGTAAAACCTACTACCATTCAGAGTGCCATTGCCTGTTTTTGTTTTCTTTTCATATCGTGTTTGTAGTTGAATTCACTGACCTGACTTGGCATGCTGACATTGCTCTGCCAGGTTGAAGTCTTCCATCTGAAGCAACGCTTGCAGACGATGGAAGGGAGGTCACCTACACCACGAAAGCCTCAGAATCTGTAGAGTGCAGGAGTGTACAGTTTTTGAGCAATCTGTTGTAGATTCAATGTTGTACTGTAATAGGTGCCAGAGCCATTGTGATTTGTAATATTAGATACAAACGTATTTCACCATTGAGACGTAATTGTGTACAATGAGTTTTGGTCCATGCAAGATGTGTTCATCCACAAGTTCTGAGTTGTTGCTCAGTTCAAGATTTCCATTGAAGACCTGACCATTGTCTTCGTGCAGACATGTAGTTCCCTTTGATCTGTGAGCCGGTCTGTGTACTCTCTCTCTCTGCCTCTCAAAATTGGTTGATGAGAAGCCAATATGTCCTCGCGAGTTCTAAAATCGAAAAATCAATGGAGAAGCGCCTCTTAAAACATTGTCAAAAATGAAAAGTATTTTTAGTTTCGGTAATGCTGGCCAGCAGGCATCTGTCCGTCTGATGGTGGGCCACGACGCTAGCCCAACTCCTCTTTCCTATCTACTCTTCCTTTCCTACCTCACAGCGCTCATGGCAGCTCACAAGACAACGCCTGCTGGCATGTCGCTCAAGGCTGCCACCACCAATGTGACCATGCCCCCACCGCCTCCTCGCTGCTCTGACTTGGCATCGCGCCACCCTCCCCGTCCACCTGTCGTGCCGCCCACGCTTGCTCCCTCCCGCCTCGGACCGCTGAGTACTGCCGGCTCCTTGAACTCGGGGTGGGAGTCGAGGACCGCCAGCCTCCCTTCTTCCGAGATTCGTCTGTCGCCTCCTTTGAACTCGACGTGGGCGCCATCTTCTCCACTCCTCACCCCGGGTTGCTGCCACCAGTGAACTCCACACGCTGATGAGTCTCCATTCTCCCAAGCAACAAGTAGATATTGCGCTGAAACCGCTTGTTGCAAGTGTATGTTTTAAGTGTTCCAGATGTTTTTCAGAGGTATATTGCAAGTGTTAGATACAGATGTTGCAAAAGTAGATCGGGATGTTGCAATGGTTGTACACGTATGATGTAAGCTTTTGTACCCTATGTTTTACACATATGTTGCAATTATTTTATCTGAATGTTACATATGTTTTAAGTGTTTTTCATGTGTGTTTTGTAAGTGTTTCAGATGCATGTTTCAAAGTATTTATTCTGCCTTCAGACGTATGTTTCAAAAGTAGATCATGTGTTGCATCTCCCTCCTCACTTTCTGTTGCCTCGCCTCGGTGTCTCCTCCTCCTCCGTCTTGGGCCGGCATCCGCCACCCCTCTTCTCGATCTTTGGTGACATTAGATTCGGCATGGCACAGCCCAGCGTGATGCAAGCAACGACATGAAAAATGACCGTAGGTGCACGAAAACGGCGCGGGAAACGGCTATAGGCGTGGGATGCCCTATCCGTCCTGACCATAGCAAGCCCGTTTTAGTTTTATATGGGCCCATAGGCTAACAGTCATCTATGGGCCCACTTGCCTTGAGTCGGCCCCACGTGTCATCGTCTTAGTTTTTCTTCTCTCTTCAGGATTCCCCCTATCTTCTTCCCGCGCCCCTCCCAGCCTCCCGTCCCGTGTGCACAGTGCCTCCTTCCCGACCTCCCTCCCCGCCGCGCTCCCACTGTGCGCACGCCCTCGCCGTGCTCTCCTCCGGTTGCGCCCCCCCCCCCCCCCCACCCCCCGCGGCTCGATCCTCGGCGCTCCTGGTGGTTTGTGTTTCTCATCCCCACCTCTCGTGCTCCGCGCCCGCTTCATCGCCTGAACAAAGATGGAGGCCTTCCTCGCCGGCCTCTTCGGGGCGCCTCCACGCGCCGTCCCCGGCCCTCGGGGCACGCCTCTCTCCGGCCTTCCTCTCTTCCACGGCAGGCGCCGCAGACGGCCGTCCTCGTCCGTGGTCTGTATGGCGGTAAGGAAAAAAACCCTTCCTTTTCGGCGGTCATCTCCATTTCCTGATGCACCGGCCATTTCTTGGAGATGGAGAGCGCATGTTGTCACCTACTATAGTGGTTCTGAGCCATTTCCCATTTGGGGGGTCCAATTAATTTATGAAATGGCTTGTTGTCACTTACCCTGAATTTTTGTTCACGCTGAAGCTGAACTGAACATTGTGTGCTTTAGTAGCTGAAAATCCTAGTTTTCGCACTAGGAACGAATCCATTGTTCATATCATAGCCTCATGATTGTTCATTTTGTGTGCTCTGTGCAGGAGCCCTATCTGATTGCCAAGCTGGATTCTGCGGAGAAGGCCTGGAAAGAAATGTCGGTATGGCTACCCGTTCTGTGTTCACCTTTGGTTCCTTCTTTTTCTTCTATATTATTAGGCTTACCAATAGGCTTATATCGCCATTGTTATTATTGCTCTGAAGTTGCTTGAGTGAAAAATGTATTGTATGAAATTAATTTTAGAACCAATCAGGCTTAACTTAGGTCCGGCTTCAATGCTGTACTAAATCAATTCTCAACTTCTCATTTGTGTCAAGGAAAAGAAAAAGTAACACGTATGTAGGCAATATAAACTGCAATGCTGTAACAATGATATGGAAAAGTTTCAGTTTTGGTCTCATCCAAACGGTCATCAGTCTAATGCTTGAGTGTATGCATCAGGTTAGGTTGGCAGATCCTGACATTGTCTCAGATCCAAGCGAATACCAAAAACTTGCGCAGTCTGTTTCTGAACTGGATCAGGTATTTGGCTTACTCACTATGGTATTTAATGTTGGTGTCTACTATCTACTCAATTATACCAGAATTTGAGCTGCTAATTTTATCAAATGATGCATCACCTTTTTTTTTCTGTCAACAATATTTAGGTCGTGACTACATACAAGCAATTCAAGGATTGTGAGAGGCAACTTGAAGAGACAAAAGGTTGGTATGCCTCAGTATTTCTGGTGCCCGTGAGAAAATAATAGACTCTCACTATAGCTTTTTTAACTTTGCAACATCATAGCTCTGGAAAAAGAGAACGAAGATGACCCTGATATGTCAGAGATGATAGCTTCTGAGCTGGAGGCTCTATCTAACCAGCTTGCAGAGCTTGAAGAAAAATTGAAGGTGAATAGGACATAACACTCTGCACAATAGCTACATAAATTCTGGACATTATGTTTAACTTTATGCATTCTACAATGCCAGTTTCTGTATTTTGTTGGAGAAAGTATACATTACACATTTTGATGTGCCTCTCATCCACTCTTATTTCCTCATGTTAGTTACTACTGCTTCCCAGTGATCCTCTAGATTCACGCAACATCTTACTTGAAGGTACCTCTCTCCATTTCTCAGTTGTACATTTCAACTAAGTTATATGGCTGTCCCATGAGTGTTCAACATCTTCTTGGTTTTTTTTTTTCAAAAAAAGTTTTTTTCCTTCTTGTTTTGAAACTGAGAACTGTATTTCTTCAATTTTGCAGTAAGAGCAGGCGCTGGTGGTGACGAAGCTGGAATTTGGGCTGGTGACCTTGTAGGTAGATGATGATTTTATTCCAATTGAGTGCAATTTAGCAAATGTGATACAGTTGTTTTTCATTTTGTTCAAATAATAGAGTACTAAGCTTGACACACAGACCATTTATATGGACAATAATCTAGAATAAATAATGAACGTGCAAGTAGGATTACGTTTTTTTTTTGGAATATAAGCTCTTCTTAGTTCATTTTTCTATTCGTATAGCAGCTATACTTCTGATATACTAGTGCATCATATTTGCAATTTTACTCACATAATCCACAACTAAATATGCCAATGGCTTTCTGTAGGTACGCATGTATCAGAAATACTGTGAGCGCAACAATTGGAAGTTTAAGCCAGTTTCTTGCTCAGAAGTATGTACTTGCAACCTTAACCTGACTATTGATTAAGATTTAAGAAAAACACTGCTCACAAGCAGACTCTTTCAGGCAGAAATGGGTGGATACAAGACATATGTAATGGAAGTCAAGGGGAAACAAGTCTATAGTAAATTGAAGTTTGAGTCAGGCGTACACCGTGTTCAGCGTGTTCCCCTGACAGAGACTATGGGTCGTGTTCATACGTCAACAGCAACTGTAGCTATTATGCCAGAGGTGGGCCATTTTGATATTTGTGTGAAGTTTTATGACATGAATTCCCTCTTCTTCAGAGATGCCTAATATTGTTTCAATGGCATAGTAGGCTGATGAAGTTGATGTGGTTATTGATCCTAAAGATATTGAGCTTAAAACAGCAAGATCTGGTGGAGCTGGAGGTAATATCACTTGCATATTGTGTTATCTGTACTGGAATACTGGGTTTTCTGTGCTGCTCCCTTATAACTGAGCATCTTCTAACATTTCAATCAATGCAGGGCAGAATGTTAACAAGGTGGAGACGGCTGTTGATCTTATTCACAAGCCTACAGGAATAAGGATATTCTGTACTGAAGAGAGATCACAGCTACAGAACAAAGAGCGGGCATTTCAATTGTTGAGAGCAAAACTGTAAGTTGTTATAGCTATGTATAGCTTTCCAAACTATGAATTACGTTTCTCTCTATTTTTTTTATCACCTCAGTTATTTTGTTTCTAAACATGTTCTTTGATGATAGGACCATAATTACAGTGTAAATTCTGGTTTTAGAAATCTCTTATGCAAAGTAGAGTGAATCTATTTTTTCCAAATTATTTGTACTCAGTATAATACATGGTCATCTTTATGTAATCTTTTTCCATTCCTTATATATATCTACCATAAACTTTACAGTTACGAGATAAAATTAAGGGAGCAACAAGAGGCAATAAGAAACCAGAGGAAATTGCAGGTATGTTGTCAATTCTTTTTAAGGATCGTATCTTCCAAAGGTCATAACTTTGTGTCCAACTGAAAGCAACAGAAAACTGTCTTATAGATGATAAATGCTCAAATTGGATACAGAGTAGCAGAGTAGTAGACATTTACGTGAACAGTATAATATCCAGTTGGAATTCACAAAAATTTAAACAATGACAAGACAACAAAAGCTAGTGCCTTCAGTTTGTGTAGGAAATAGAGTTAGCCCTTATGAAAGATTTTGTCATCCTCTCTGTTCAGTGTTACTAATACCTGTTCAACTGAAGGTTGGTACTGGTGCTCGATCTGAGAAGATAAGGACATACAATTACAAGGTAGCAGGACATCCTATCACCTAGAAACTTGTCTTTTCTTTCTCTGTTATGTTTGGGAAGGAGCTCTTCTTATTCTTTAAAAATCGCCTCCAATATTTATACAATTTGAGGTCTTTTGCTCACAACAGGATAACAGAGTGACAGACCATCGATTAAAGATGAACTTTGAACTGACCGGCTTCCTTTTAGGAGACATCGAATTGGCTGTTCAGGTATATTACTTGACAAAAAAAGAACAATGCAAATGTGGCAACGTGCAACTATTACAGCAGAGATGATGTAATAACATGAGTCCATCTCTATAACAATCTCATTTGTTATTTAAACATCTACAGTCTTGTGCTACAATGGAGCAGCAGGAGCTCTTGGAGGAAATGGCCAGTTCTGTGGGCGCAGTGAACGTATGATTCAGGCAATTCAGCGTGGAGATCAGGTTATCAAACAAAAAAAACCGATGAAGATGATTGATAGTTGTACATGAAGAGACTGACAAAAATGAACTCCACATAGGAAATTTTTCTGTAGTCCACATGGTCATGAGTTCATGACTAATGCCATAGAACACACCACATGGTCCTTGACGGCAGCATACTTTTGAGTATTAAAAAATATACATGATATGTACAATTTAACTGCTCCAGTATTCACAGTTTAATGCATTTTAGGTACGATGTTCTGTGAAATTCTTTTGTTCACAATGTATAATTCTTTAAGAAAAAAAATGCAAATATCCATTTATGAAGACAGCTATAGCCATGTGCTAAGTTAAGTAGACTACCAGTTCTCCCTTTCCCCATCCGTGTCTTAATGAAAAACGTTGCACATTCTGGCTAACAAATTTACAAAATTGTTTTCACAGTTATCAAAAAGACTTTGTTTTTGGCATTCATAACAAAAATTCAGTTCAGCTTGCAATATAGACAGACTCGCTTTGAGGAGTTGAGCTTGGATTGCAAGTTGACAACCTAGATTTTGTTAATACCAAAATTTCTTACATTTTGAGATGAGCAACACCACCATACTTTTATTATGCTTTTGAGATGAACAACAACAATATACTGCTAGTAGTTATACTAGCTGACACATGAGATGACTTAGGGCGTGTTTAGTTTAGGCCCTAGGGCCCTAAACAAAATTTGGCCGGTAGGTAAAAATTGGACACCATTTGGTCTATGACCAGGGTTTGGCGTGCCCTGAAAATTTGGCATTGCCCATCTACACTTACAGGTAGCTGATGCGGCAGCCCATGAGTGGTTGCATGCGGTTCAAGATTTTGAGAGTGGATTTCTTTAAATTAAATCAAGATATGTCTTAAACTATGCATCAGATTTACAAACCGTTTTCACCAAATTATCGCTTGCAGTTAAATCTACAAAAAAAAAAAAAAAAAATCTCAGTTAGCTACATTTCAACCAAAAAACAATTGACTGACATATGAATCCCACATGTCATATCATACATAGAGTTTTCGCATGGCTCCAATCCAGACACGTACTTTTGCTCTTAAATTTTAGCATAGCCAAACTGCGGCTTGGCCATGAACAAAACACTTACTATTCCTTCCTGTTTTGGCATGGCTCCAACTTTGGCATAGCCAAATTTTGACAGGTCCTTTTGGGTTACCAACCAAACAGCCCCATAATAGCCCTTGCACTCGGAAGATTTCATAACACGCTTAGCCTCTGCCTTGTCCGTCCACCCCCGTTCACCACCGGCATTTCGCCATGGCTGCTGCCAAGCCCCTCGTGGTCGTCATCGCCTTCCTACTCGCTGCTGCTGCCACCGTCCCCTTGCCTGACGGTGGTGGGGAGCTCCCTCCGTTCACGCTCCTCCCGGCTGAACCCCCTGCCGTCTCCTTGCCTGATGGTGGTGGGAACAACCTCCCGTTCACGCTCGTCCCGGCTGACCGCGCTGCCGCTGGGTGCCGCGGGTCCGTGGGCATGTGCCCGGCGAGCGACGAGGTGCGTGGCCTCGGCAAGGGAGCAGGGGCTTCCACCATGTCGGCCGATCCTGAACGGGTCCGGCGGCGGGTACATCACCAACAGCGCGACAGCGTGCCGTGCTCGCGCCGCGGTGCCAGCTACTACAACTGCCGGCCCGGTGCCCAGGCCAACCCCTACCGCCGCGCCTGCTCCCGCATCAAGCACTGCCACGGTTGAAGCCATGGTTCCTCTTCGCCATCCAAAGAACTCTGTGTACTGCGTGTTTTCTTGTACCGGCAAGGTGTCACAAGATCTTCTGCCCTTGTTTCAGCAATGTTTAGGGCCTGTTTAGACACCAAGAGCTAATTGTTAGCTAGCTAAAAATAGCAAAAATTAGCTCTAGCCCATCCAACAGGGGCTACTTGGTGAGCTAATTTTTTTGTCCAAACATCTAACTAGTTAGCCAATTGGCTAACCTTATACTAGCCCTAGCCATCTAAACAGGCCCTTAAATATGTTATAATGTCAAAAAAGATTGTGGTCCAAGGCATAAGATACCGGAATTTTGTTGTTGTTTGACTAGTTCTTGCTAGTACAGAACTATATACGATGTTGCTTTAAAAATTCATGGTTTTCATGCTATTGATGCCTGCCTGCCTGCCTCCATCACCCAGATTTCCTGTTAGGCACATTGAAGCTGGGGATAGAACTCAATACCTGCTTCAGCTTGGTCTCCCAAATATTGTGGCTGTTCTAATATGGATGTCTTCATGTGACTGTTCCCTGGTTGGCACTTGCAGCTTGATGCTCATATCCATCAAGAGTTTGATATTTCTCACCAGAACCAACCAAGTGATGTGGTCGTTCTCCCTGGTTTCGCACCTGGAAGGAAGATGTGTTTACTCCATTTTTCTCCTGAAACGAAAGGATCAGGTGTTTGTTTATTTTCAATTTATTAGGACTTGTATTAGTTGGACGAGTTCTGCCATGTGAGTTGTGATCGATCACTCTCCCAACATGCCTGTCATGTGGAATGCTTGTTAGGGAGTGTAAGCCTTGCCTATCAGACAATGTGTTCATGAAATACTTTTATGTTGCTTTGAGGTGCATTTACATACCATGATGGCTTCCAGTGACATTGTTAAGAAACCCAACTGTAACTCTGTAAGCATGCTTAATTTCGAAAAGGAGAATAGAGCTTACATGATGCATGGACAATGCTACTGCCTTCTGCCAATAATGTCGAGCTTGAGGCATTCAACAATACTCCTCTTATCCAGTGATGGCTGTCTTTAGCAACAGCATATTACAATTTTCCATGATATACCTCACCACAAAAAATGACTGCTCTGTAACTGCAAAAGTGGCTTGTAACCACAAACATCTAACAAATTGTTCACTGTCATGACCAGTTTAGTCTGTACAAGGCAGGAGCTTTCTCAGTGTAATGGAAGTTCTTCTGTGCTGCTCAAGTTCCCTGCCATCCCAAAGCTGTCTGCCTGGTTTGCGGTCGATCTCATGCTTCCAGAGATACCTTGCATCGCCAAACATGAGAACAAGGGAGCCTGGGTTCAGCAAAACGGGGACCTTCGAAGATTCACCACCCCCTTGCTTCAGGGTGTCAGAGCCCGCGCTTCCGCTTGTTGGTTCTGCTTGACTGAAGTGCATCACACAAGCTGACTCAAGAGAGACTATTGCAATCCCATCGTCAAAGCGCATCAGATCAACATGAGCACAGATACCCTAGATTCAATAACAGAACCATAATGTTAAGAGTGCAAAAAGAATGCATCACTTTTCTGAACGATATGTTTCCTTGTGAATATGAGACAGTTCCGCACCTCACCTGGCCTGTATCTGTTTGCAATCATCTGATCGAAAAATGGCTCCCGCCACAACAAATCTGATGGAAGAGGACATGCATCTTCATCCTCGTTTGTCACCTCTGCATCAAGACCAACACTGGCGTCACCAACACAGATAGCTTCACGGATAAGTGCAGAAAGCTCAACAGCCCATGAAGGGAGATCGCCAAATCTCATTGCCTAAAAAGAAGATAGGAGCAGAAGAACTTAAACATTAAAATGATAGACAAGGATGGAAATCTTCGTATAGTTTGAACTACTTTAGGAAGCCTTATACACAAATCAGGCAGTCTTTATGGCACTACTGAGAATATTGAAAATCCTACCGCTGACAAACATTAGGCAGATACTGAAAAGATGAGGGGGAAAAACTTACTTGGTTGTTTGCATCAACAAACCATCCTTCTGCAAAAACCAAGCCATCAGACTTACGATAAGCAATGAGCTATGGTTATTTCTGTTGTTGAGCAATAAGAAACTAGAGCAGAGTTTCTTCTGCATAGGTACTAGGAAGTTTTGCTACTCCTCAACTGGGACATGTAAAAGTTAACCAATCCAGAGATAAGTATAGTAATGGTTCGAGAACAAAAGACTTATTTCAAATTACAATTTAACATAGTTACATATAGCTAGATAATTTTATAATAAGAACTAGTAATACACAGTCAGAGGAAAAAAGGGGATTAAGGTACCTATTGCTAACATTAGTAATTGCACCGCTGGCCGCATCTGTCTAAGCAGATCCGGTGATTGTAATCATCACAAAGAGTCATAGATGGACCATTAACGAATAAGTAATGTCCTGACTGAAACCAAATTAAACAGAACACGAAGCTAAAAATATTCCCCTTTTTGCTCACAACAAGATGAGGGAGGCTACAGGAGGTCCCGGCAACCGATGACTCACCTTGCTGGATCGCATTTAGGAGGCGCGCCTGCTCGTCGGCGGAGAGGAAGGCAGCGCACAGCCACAGTCCCCTGACCCCAACCACCGCCTCCCACCTCCAGTGCCCGCGGCCCGCTCCGGGGCTGACACCGGCCGGTGTGTCGGAGTCGCTGCCCGACGAATCACCGAAGGCCTCGCGGAGCGCGTCCCGGCAGTGGGACTCGCCGCCGTCGCCGGCCGCGGCCATGTGGTTTCTCCGTAGAGCCGCTTCGTTCGCAGTACAGGGCGTACAGCACGATTCAACTCGTTTGCACACCAATTCGGATACCGTGTCCCACGTTGAGTTTACGTAAAACTAGTATTACGCCTTCCTTTCTCGGACCAGCTTGGCCTTGGATGCACACGATGCTTCACTTCCAGGCCCAGCCCGGCCTAGTGAACGAAGAACATGTTTAGATTACTGGCGTGGCTACTGCCCGGACTCCAGACCCCCGCGCAGCCCTTCCCCGCTATCGTCTCGCCCCACGCGTGCACTCCACCCCGTATCTGCGCCCACCGGTCATTTTCCAGATCCGCTCCTCTCTCTTCACGCAGGCGGCACTCGTGAGCCGAGACCTGGCGTGCCCCCGACCGGAGCACCCGTCCGTCCGCCCCCAGCGCCCCCGTCTAAGGCCCCCCCCCCTGGCGTGCCCCGTCCTCCTGCCCCCGGCCGAACAACATAAAATACTTGCAATATGACAAAAAATTTGAATGCAACATACATATGAAAAATAAATAAAACACTTGGAATATGCACTTGTAACATATGTGTGGAACACATGAAACATCTAAAAAATAACACTTGCAACTTGCAACATGAAACCACTTGCTGCAACATAAGATTGAAACAGCTGAAATATTTTGGAGCATACTATTGCAACATATATGTGAAACATATGCAACATCCGAATAAAAAACGATTGCAACATACATTTGGAAACAGATAAAATATTTTGAACAAACACTTGCAACATAAGCAATACATGCAACATCCCCCAATCAAAATGAAACAATAGCAACATACATCTAAAACTCTCAAACAATTGAATCATACATATACAACATAAGGGAGGGGGAGGTCGGGGCCAGTCGATTCCAACCGCCATGGTCCGAGTCGGCAGCGAGCGACAGCCCAAGCACCACCACCACCACCACCAGGCTTGGCTCGCCTGGACGGGCGCACTAGCACTAGCGTGTGCGCACCACCACCACTAGCGCCATCAGCACCAGTCTTGGCTCGCCCGGGGGTAAGGTGTGCGTGACGGAGGGGCGGCAACGCCGCAATGGGGCGAGCAAGCGGTGCTGGATGGGGCACACAGCAGCAGCGAGGCAGAGTGGCATCCACGTTCGGGACGGTATAGATAGAGTGGTATCCGCAAGGCGATGTGGTGGAGAGGAGGTAGTGGAAGACATAAGAAGGTTTGTTCTTCTTTTTTTATAGAACGTTTGGGGGCGATGTCGAGTGGATGAGCGGTGTTGGGCTACGTCGTGGCCCACCATTGGGCCATGCGAGTAGTCCTTAAATTTGAAACGGCTCAAAAGAGCTAGAACTTGATGAGTCATTGGGTAACACGGGTTGACCAACGAGCATACCTTCGTCTGTGGGATCTATATCCATCTGCACTCCACCAGGGAGACCCGACACTGGCTATGGATTAGGGTTTGGAGTCTCCGGGGGTGGCGCCAACGGTGGCTACCTCTGGAGCTCCCTCTTGGTTGGCTAGATCCCCTCTCATTCATCCTCTCCCTTGCAAGAAGTGTCGACAAGACGTCAAGAACCCACCGTGGCATTCATTGTTGAGTGTAATCCTTGTGTGCAAGATTAATTATTGGTGTATTAGGATATATAGTAGTCAATTAGGCTCATGATCACTGCATGATTTTGCTTGTGTTGACTTGATCGAAGGGCATGATTTGTTTCCTTGTAATTGCTTACTTAAGCAAAGTAACAGAGTATGAAAACACTGCCAAGTTGACAGCACCAAAATGTGATCATGTCCACTGTGTTTGCGCATGAGTTTTGTCTTGGCCGTAACCGTGCCGGCGACGTGATCATCATTGTATCTTCGGTGAGTTTCGACAAGTGGCATCAAAGCCGGTTTTGTTGAGGCCGGATTCAATGGGTGACTAGAAGAAGCCAGTCGACGGCTCCTCCAACTCCAAGTACAGCGTCATGATCCAACATGTGATTCGTGAGGTAGGTGGTAGGATCGGAGTAGCTACCCCATCCTCACCAAGGCTAATTACTCCGATTGGGTGCTCAGGTGAAGGTGAAACTGAAGGCAAGGGTGCTTTGGAACATCATTGAGGATGAGGGCGCCGATTAACAAGAAGTGATGATGGCGCTTGACACCCTCTGTAGTGCGGTGCCACTAGAGATGGTGTTAGCACTAGAAGATAAGAAGACGGTGAGGGAGGCCTAGGAATCCATCGCGAAGATGTGGGTCGATGATGACTGAGTTAAGAAGTCTACCATGGTGCAGCTTCGGTGAAAGTTTAGCTTGGCGACGTTCAACGATGATGAGATCCATTCATTTACCGGGGTCTAATATTCCTCGGTTGACGATGAATATCGTGAGCATCGAGCAACCCAATGAGGTCAGGTACAGGGTCGGCATCGACGATGGAGTCATGTACATCTGGGAGCCAGGTTGTCATCTCCTGGTGAAGGTGACACACATGGTAAACTGGTTGTATGTGCTCAACATCACCTCCGGTTTGTCTGGCGGCGTGCGACGATGCAAAGGCTTGGTGATGGCACGCGTGCCTCGGTCATGTGAACATGGTGGGGCCGCGGAAGCTAGCTCAGGAGGAGCTGGTTCAGGGTCTGCTTGAGATCAGGCATGTGGAGCCGATGTGCGAGGCGTGCAGGCTGGGAAGCAGAAGGCACATCTCGTTCTCGAAACAAGCAGAGTACCGCGCACGGGAGCTCCTCGACTTGGTGCATGGCAACCTGTGCGGTCCCATAGTGCCGGCAACTTCGAGGGGCAACAAGTACTTCCTGTTGCTGGTGACGACCTAAGCAGATACATGTGGGTGGTCGCGATTCCTTCCAAGGATTGCGCAACGGCTGCCATCAAGGAGATCCAAGCGCGGGCAGAAGGCATGCCCGGGCGCAAGCTGAGGGCACTCTGCACCGACCATGGTAGTAAACTCACCTCCACGGTGTTTGCCGAGTAATGCATGATGGAAGCAGTCCATCACCAACACATCATGCTGCACATGGTGGAACACCAGAACGGCACGATGGTGGCTGCGGCGAGAAGCATGCTCAAGGCGAAAGGGCTGCCTAGGTGGTTCTGGGGCGAGGCAGTGAGTACTACTATATATGTGCTGAATAGGTGCCCAACGAAAAGTGTTGTTGCATTGACTCCATTCGAGGCTTGGCATAGGAAGAAGCCAGCCGTCCACCACCTCAGGACATTGGGCTGCATCGTCTATGTCTGAAACACGACACCTCACCTTAAGAAGATAGAGGACAGAGGCTGCGAGATGATCTTCATCGGCTATGAGCATGGAGCAAAGGTGTAAACCCATTGCGAAGAGCATCCATGTGACGCGAGATGTTGTGTTCAACGAACAAGCCCAGTGGGACTAGGGCACAGTCGGCGACAGCAGCACAGCTTGTAGGAATGATGATGTCTTCACGATGGAGTATTCCATTATCATGAAACAGGCACCTCTGATGGTCGAGGACACCATGGAGACGCCTAGAGCTGAGGTGCCCTAAGACAAGCTGACACCGCCGCCATTGCCACACGCTGGTGGAGTAGCGACCAAGGTTTTTAATTTCGGTATCGCCAAAATTTCGGTCACCACCGAAATTACCGAATTTAGCGAAATTCGGTCGAAATTTTGCCGAATTTTTTTTAGAGATTAGCACATGAAGTATGCTTTTTCTAAAAAAAATTGGATCTAAACAAATATTAGTATGATTTATGACTACATATCTATTAAATAGAAGAATATGCAATATAAACAATAGAAAAATATAAGATTAGAGTTATATAGCACATGTATTAGTGTATTAAAAAATTTCGGAGTTTTCTTTCGGCCACCACCGAAATTACCGAATTTCGTGAAATTCGGCCAAAATTTCGCCGAAATTTTGAACCCTGGTAGCGACGCCGGGTGGATTGCCGGGAGCACAGGCAGTAGAGTTTGCCTTGCCGCTAGGAAAAAATGGCGACCGCTTGGACGCTGACCACGACGAGGATGCCCGACTTCAGTTCTGGAGGACCGACAACATCCTTGGACCAGCATCGCCTATCGGGTTCATGCCATGGGCACTGGTTGCAGTGGAGCTGTGTGGTGAGTTCCGATGAACCCAGTTCATTTGCTGAAGAAGAACGCAGCCCGAGCTGGTGGAAGGCGATGGTGGAAGAGATGGAGTACATCGAGGACAACTAGACATGGTTACTGGCGGACCTCCTACCTAGATTCCAGGCGATTAGGTTGAAATGGGTCTTCAAGGTGAAGAGGGATGAGCATGGGGCGGTGGCCAAGGACAAGGCGTGCCTCATGGTGAAGGAATATGCACACACTACTACATAAATTGTTTTGCGAGACACTACTGAACAATTAACACAGGCCATCACAAAACTCACCTGTCTCTTAAAATACCTCAGGATTTGGAAGGCAGACTTTTTGTTTGTGGAGGCGGTCACAAATTGACCATCTCTTAAATTCAATTTATGGAGGTAGACATTTTATTTACGGAGGCAGTAAAAAATTGACCGTCTCTTAAAATAGATTTACGAAGGTGGACCTCTTAAAAGGTCACCTCTAAAAATGGTGGCCATATTCAGAGGCGGACCTTTTAAGAGGCCCGTCTTCGTTAATGTGGCCAAGCTCACTACTGTCCTCTATGAGCCCATCTCAGCCAGTATCTGGTTTGTAGTATATAAGAAGAGAAGCACTAGCTCTCTATCTCCTCCCACCCTGGAGATTCAGTCACTTCCATCTCTCTTGCTCTCTCTCTCTCTCTCTCTCTCTCTCTGCTAGCTCACACGCCCATGCACTTCTCTCTTTTGACGACGATGACAACTGCTCTAGGAAGCAAGGGCTCGTCATCTAGCGGTAGATCCCGGCAACGGGAGGACCGCTCGCACCCCGGCTACAGGGCCGCTCGCGCCCACCGGTGGTGGCAGCCGCTCACACTCGCATCCTGGCGATGGAGGGACGCATGCACCACTCACGCTGGTGGCGAGGGGCTCTTCCGCGGCGACGGCGGCAGTGGCTCTTCCAATGTGGCCGGGGCTTGTGGTGGTGGCTGTGGCTCAGATCCGGCGGCGGAGGCTCGTATCTGTGGTCGCTAGGCCTCGCGGCAGCTGCGGGGGCTTCAATCCAGCAAAGAGCATCGATGGTGCTCGGATCTGGCGGCGACAGAGCGTCGATGGGCTTGATGGGCCTCGTGGATGGGCTCAGCGGGCTCATAGGGAACACTTTTTTTTTGTTTTTTTAATCTATTTTCGTTGGGAGCCACTTGACCTCCTTGCCTCCAAAATACCGATTTACGCATGTGTTGTTTTGGAGGAGGACTCCTTCCCACCTCCGAAAATCATTTTTGGTCGCCTTGGAAAACAATTACTGTAGTAGTGATAGTAGCACGACATCTGCTATGATGAAGTGTTCGCTCTGGTGGCGCGGCTAGACTCGATGTGCCTGCTCATTGCCCTTGCGGTGCATGAAGGGTGGTAGGTGTACCACATGGACGCCAAATTGGCATTCCTGAACGCGCGACCAATAGGAGGTGTTGTACATGGAGCAAACGACGGTATGTTTCATCGCTAGGAAGGAGCACAAGATGGTCAAGCTACAGAAGGTGTTGTACGGGCTACACCGAGCACCGTGAGTCTGGAACGCGAAGCTGGACGACAAGTTGGTGTCACTTGGGTTCAGGAGGAGTATGTCGAAGTACACCATCTACATTAGGCGGAACGCTGACACGCAGCTGGTGGTCGGTGTGTACGTCGATGATCTAGTGATCACCGGCACCAGGTGCGATGATATCAGGCTATTTAAGAAAGTGATGGTAGCCGCGTTCAAGATGAGCAATCTCGTCCTGCTTCACTACTACCTTGGAATTGAAGTGAAGTAGGACACGAGTGGGATCTTGCTCAACAAGGAGCCTACACTGTTAAGCTCCTCGAGAGAAGCGACATGGCTGGTGCAATCCCAGTCAGGTTCCCATGGAGGCACGACTGAAGTTGAGCAAGTAGAGCACTGAGCCGCCGCTGGTGGACACTACTCCTTACAAGAGCATCATCAAGAGAGCTTGATGGGGGCAGACGAGGAAGAGAAGGACGCACACATGATGGAACAACCCAGTGTCGAAAGAGGACGAGGGTATCCCTCCAATTCTAGGACGGGGTTGTCCTTGAATCTGAGGGAAATAGGCCATGTTCGCTTGAGTTTATTCAAAACTACTTTTTAGCCATGGAACAGTGTTTTTCTCTCACAACATTTCAGCATAAACATCGGCATAAGCCAAATTTCAGCATCAGCGAACAAGATGATTACCTTCCGGGGATGACCGTCCACAATGTCAAACACTAGGACAAATTCAGATATCCCACTTCATCCTTGTTTCGCTCCCAAACCAAACGCTGCCTAATACCACCTCCACGCTCGACAGCAACCGGACATGGGGTAAGGAAGAGTAAGAGCTACGGGAAAGTTCATTGAACATATATCGTATACATACATTTAACATTTGAAATGAACATTTTATGTAAATGGTAATAAAGAAAATGGAAAAATTTGCTCGGTGTCCAATAAAAGTTGCGTGTAGCTTGAAAATCTTGATCAAGGTTGCAGCACTATAAAAGGGAAAATAAGAGTGAAAAGCATAACCATACATAGTTGATAGAAAGTGGCATTCTAGTCTAAATAATAGTATTAAGTTAGAATAGAAATAAATAAAAATAAGTGCACATTTTTTTAGATAAGGGAACAAAAAAAAAGTGACAACAGTAGAGTCTAAACAAACAGTCCAATTTGAATGATGTCTAGAGCACAAGGAGTAGTGACAGAAAGAAGTGTACATGCACTCTGAAATTACAGACCCTATGCATGGCCACCCACTAATTTCGATTTGTGTTGATCAAGAGAGACACCGAGTTAAATTTGAATATAGCATAATCACTTGTATTATGTGAGAACTCAATAATTCACATGGATCAGTGCACGTTCGAGAAAAAAAAATTCACATGGATCACAAATGGAACTGCAAGAAGTATTCATCATATACGACCATAACCATTTTAATAGTATATCAATAACAGGGACAAAAGCAGTTCATAATAATCCCTTAACTTTGTTCCGTCATCCTGTACTCCATTTTTTAAGGAAAACATTTCCTTTTCTATATATAAGAAAAAAATAAAGCGATACAGAAGGCACAAAAATCACACTTGGCATGTCTCTTACACCTTGTCGCCTCGTGTAGTTAGTTCACACATGCACACATTCGAACATCGCGTGCACATGCAAAAAAATAAACAATTTCACACACGCTTGCAGTGTACATGTAGCTGTTTGTCTGCGCATGTGACCTTATATACTGGTCCATTCACTCTTCGTCAGCCATGTCTCTGTGGCGCTTAATACCCTTGGAACTGAGGGGGAGGCGGAGATGCGTACTTGTTGGCCATGATAGGTGGAAGGATGATGTCGTTGAATGAAGGTGGAGGTAGGGATTCTGCCGGTGGTGCTGGTGTTGATTCTTCTTTCTTTGGTGGGGCAGGGGTGACCGCCGGAGGAGGTGAGCTTACTGGGGCCGGTGGTGGTAGCGATGGCGGCTTCACTGGTGCTGGTGGAGGAGAGCTAACTGGTTCCGGCGGAGGAGAGCTAACCGGTGCCGGTGGAGGAGGAGATTTTACTGGGGGTGGTGGAGAGCTGACCGGTGCCGGTGGTGGTGGTGACTTCACTGGGGGTGGTGGCGAGCTCACTGGTGCTGGAGGTGGTGGTGACTTCACTGGAGGTGGTGGTGAGCTGACCGGTGCCGGTGGTGGTGGTGACTTCACCGGGGGTGGTGGCGAGCTCACTGGTGCTGGAGGTGGTGGTGACTTCACTGGAGGTGGTGGTGAGCTGACCGGTGCCGGTGGTGGTGGTGACTTCACTGGAGGTGGTGGTGAGCTCACAGGAGCAGGTGGAGGTGACGACTTAGGCGCTGGCGGTGGTGAGCTAATTGGTGCTGGTGGTGGCTTCACTTCTGGAGGCGGCGAGCTCACAGGAGCAGGTGGAGGTGACGACTTAGGTGCCGGTGGTGGTGAGCTGACTGGTGCCGGTGGTGGAGAGGACTTTACCACTGGAGGCGGCGAGCTCACAGGAGCAGGTGGAGGTGACGACTTAGGCACAGGTGGTGGTGAGCTGACTGGGGCCGGTGGTGGTGAAGACTTTACTACTGGAGGTGGTGAGCTCACAGGAGCAGGTGGAGGTGACGACTTAGGCGTTGGTGGTGGTGAGCTGACTGGTGCCGGCGGTGGAGAAGACTTCACCTCTGGAGGTGGTGAGCTCACAACAACTGGTGGAGGTGTCAACTTAGGCGTCGCCGGTGGTGAGCTAACTGTTGCCGGCGGTGATGACTTGGGCTCTGATGGTGGTGAGCTGACCAGTGCCGGTGGTGGGGATGACTCCTCCTCTTCAGGTGGTGAGCTCACGTGTGCAGGTGGGCCTGATGACTTAGGCGTCATTGGTGGCGAGCTAACCGGTGCTGGTGGTGGAGAAGACTTTACGACCGGAGGTGGTGAGCTGACTGGTGCTGGTGGTGGAGTAGTCTTCTCTACTGGAGGTGGTGAACTTACAGGAGCTGGTGGAGGTGATGCCTTAGGTGTAGGCGGTGGTGAGCTCACTGGTGCTGGAGGTGGAGAAGACTTCACTGGAGGCGGTGAGCTTACAGGAGCTGGTGGAGGTGATGACATAGGTGTAGGCGGTGGTGAGCTAACTGGTTCTTTCGGTGGAGAAGACTTTATTGGTGGAGGTAGTGTCTCAACTGGAGATGGTGGCGGTTGTGGCTTCTCTGGAGTTGAAGGTGGCTTAGACGGAGTTGATGGAGGAGTAGGCTTCTCTGGAGTTGAAGGTGGCTTAGACGGAGTTGATGGAGGAGTAGGCTTCTCTTTTTCTGGTGGAGAGGTAGTCGGAGTGGGTGGAGGTGGAGACTTCTCCGGAGGCGGCGATGACTTCACCGGAGTAGGTGGTGTTGGGTATTCCTCTGGAGGTGGGGTTGATTTCGCCGGAGCTAGTGGTGGTGGGGACTTCACCGGAGGAGGAGGTTTGCTCACGGGAGCCGGCGGTGGCGGAGATTTCACCGGTGGAGGTGGAGAGGCCACTGGTGCCGGCGGAGGAGGTGATTTCACAGGCGGGGGAGGTGATGCCACCGGTGCTGGTGGGGGAGGTGATTTCACGGGTGGTGGTGGAGAGCTCACTGGTGCTGGTGGTGGGGGAGACTTCACAGGTGGTGGTGGTGAAGCAACAGGGGCCGGTGGAGAAGGAGTCTTTGCAGGTGGCGGTGGTGATGCCACTGGTGCCGGCGGAGGAGACGACTTCACCGGTGCCGGAGGCGGGGAGGAGGCAGCTGGAGGAGGTTGCACCTGAGGCGGTGGCACCTTGGGCCGCTCCGGTGTCCCTGGGAGCCAGGCTGACTTTGGAGGCGGTGGAGCACCTTGTGCTGCCGGCGGCGAGGTCGCTGGCGGTGACTTCGCGGGTACAGGTGGTGTTGGTACATAATCGTCCGCCGGCGGTGACTTAGGGGTCGGCATCGGCATGGGTGCAGGCACCGGCGATGGCTCTGGAAGCGGCTCTGGCGATACATCCGGCGGTGTATGCGGGGACGGCATGGGCGCAGGCGCAGCAGGTTTCCCTGGCACCGACGGCTTCCCGGGTACCGATGGCGGCTTCCCTGGCACCGACGACGGCGGCCCTCCTCCGGGCGTCGGGTACCCAGCGCACACATGCTTGCTGCAGTCGACGGGGCGCGCGAGCACGGGGGCGCACTGCAGCGCGGTCTTCTGCGCCGGGCGCAGCGCGCCGAGGCAGTTGTCCCTGTCGTCAAAGTTGACGAGCGCCTTGTCGGACGGCATGCACACGGCGGCCTCCGAGTTGAAGAAGTTGAAGGCGAAGCTGAAGTTGACGAGCGCCGGGAGCTCGCAGATGGACTCGTGCACGATGCCCGTGAAGACGTTCCGGGACACGTCGAGCTGCTCGAGCTTGGCGATGTTGGACAGCTGCTCGGGGATGGTGCCGACGAGCATGTTCCCGCTGACGTCGATGACGGTGGTGTTGACCAGCAGGCCCATCTCCAGCGGCAGGCACCCGTCCAGCTTGTTGTTGAGGAAGATGATCTCGTCCAGCGTCTTCACCATGCGGCCGATGCTCTTGGGGATACACCCGACGAAGGCGTTGTTGGCGAAGACGATGACGGACGCCGTGGAGTTGCCGAGGTTCTCCGGGATGAACCCCACGAACCGGTTGGTGTTGACGAAGATGGCGTCGAGGTCCTTGTCGAAGAGCGCCGGCGGCAGCTCGCCCTCGAAGTCGTTGAACCGGAGGTCGAGGTACTTGAGCGACACCATCTCGAGGCAGACGTAGGGGAAGACGCCGACGAAGCGGTTGTTGCTGACGTCGAACTCGTGCAGCAGCGACAGCCGCGACATGCTCTTGGGGATGATGCCGCAGAAGCGGTTGGTGTTGACGTGGAAGAAGGCGAGGTCGGTGAGCAGGCCGAGCTCCGGGGGAAGGTACCCGGCGATGTCGGCGCCGTTGAGGTCGATCCCGGCCACCACCATGATCTTGGGGTCGTCCAGCGCCTCCACGCAGATGACGCCGTTGTACTTGCACACGTCGCTGCCGACCCAGTTGTCGGTGTATCCCTTGGGGTCGGAGTAGAAGGCGCGTTTCCAGGCCTGCAGCGCGATGTACGCGCGGCGGAGGCGCGGGTTGGCGAAGGTGCCGGCGCCGGCGCCTAGCCGGTCGTCGAACTCGAAGTCCGCCGGCAGGTCGCCGGCCTCGCCGCCGCCGGCCTCCTTCATGGCCAGCAGCTGGCGGTGAGCGATGTACGAGGCCTCCGCGCTCGTCACCGCCTGCACGCTGCAGGCGGACAGGAGCAGCAGCGCCGCCATGAGGCGCCCGTCGGGCAGGAGCCGCAGAGGAGGGTCCATGAGGGAGGGAGTGAGCGGTGGCCGGACGTGCACACTGAGGTCGATAGCCCCCGTCGCCGGGGTGCTTTATGGAGGCCGGAGGGCGGTAACAGCGTGCGGTTGCATGGGCGCGTTGAGCGTGAGGCCGGTGGTGGTGGTGGACGGTGGCGGCCGGTTGCTGGCTCCGCGGCATTCGCGGCCTGCTGCGCCTGTCCAGGGACGGACGGACGAGGACGACGACAGGAGAGGAAGGAGGAGCAGGGTGCCGGCCCGCGCTCGGTGGAGCTGCCGCTCTGGTCGGCCCCGTGTGTTTCAGGGTCTGCCCTTGCATGCATGGATGCGTGCGAGCGGTCGTGCCTGGTCCTCGTGCAAGCCCAAAATATACATGCATGGTACCGTGACTTGCCAGTGAAAGCTTGAACTGGCATGCATGGCTGTTTGTGCAAAAACTGTTGGCGAACGTCAAAAAGATGTGTAAATTTACCTCAACCTTGTTTCACCTTAATTTCTAGCCCATTTTTAGTTGGGGACACTGGTCTATCAACCCGTGCTCTCGCACGGGCTAGAACTTTAAAAGATAGTTATTGTTTAATACATATTACTAATAAAAAATTACTTATATTAAATTATATATTTTCTCTTTTTCATTTTTAATTAATGTAATAGACACAATTGGGGGCATGCTCATGTCCTTTCCTTCGTCTCCCCACCTCATCAAGGCCGTCAAGACTCTAGAACCACTAGCATTTTATACAGTGGAGAAGCTAGCTAGAGCAAATTAGAGATTTAGAGTAGGGCACAACAGCCTTATGAGTGTATGGACGTAGAGTGTATATAAACTATAAAGTACATATAGATGAAAAATTAGGTATCATCACTGAATTTATATTTTGCGGGGGTGCATCTGTATCCACAACTACATATGTAGCTTCGCTCCTGATTATATATATCTATGACCTATGCAATATATATGGCCCATGAAAATGAATATGTAGATCAAGCATGCTTGCCTGTGCGTCGGCACAATATATATGGCATATACACAGCAAGTAGACTACACAAATGACATATACACATTAAGTACACAACAACACATATGGATCGATGAGCAATTGGACATGAGAGTCATCAGGAACAACCTTTTCTCTTTTTATTGCACTTAGACAGTAGTACTTGTGGGTACATCATCAATCGTTTGGCGTCGTGCGCATATGCATAGCATGCAACTTCTACGATTTCATCTCGTGTGGTGAAAAATAATACTCCATCACATGTCAATGTGTTTTATGGCTGCCTGATGATTGAGACATCTTCCGGATGAAGTCTCACAAAGAAAAACTTAGTGGATGGTCTCCCTGGTCTGCTTGCGTTCTTCGACATACTTTGCTTGCATTGCTTGTTTTCAATGCTAGTAGTCACTTAGTGTGTGTGTGTGTGAGCTAGAGAGATTAGTTTATTGAAATGTGTTGAATCATTGGTTTTCCATAAATATTTGAGTTTATTGCAGCATTGGTCCATCTGCATTGCTGTTGATCGATTCAAATTCCAAAAAGCATTGCACGAAACAACCTGAGATACATTATACCCATTTATACCATTTTTAATTTTCAACTGTTAACTTAATTTCTTGGTTAAAGAAAAATTAAAGCATGTAAATGTACAAATGTCATACGTCCAATGAGGGCTAAAGGCCCATCGGGCCCAGGTGCCGGCAGCAGCGGCGGTGCCGCCTAGGTCAGTAGCAGCGCAGCCCAGGGACTAGGCGCACACAGCAAGGGCGGGTTCCCCGCCGCTCCACTATCCATAACCAAAGGATCTTCAATAGGAATAGGATTAGCTAAGATAGAAATGAGTCCATATCTATAAGGATTTCCCTCATTAGGTTACTTAGGAGACAAGTCTACCCAGGACTATATATAGAGAGGCTATGTAATCATTGCAATCAAGAAAGAACAGCCTCAAGGCTTATCTCTCCTTCCCCTTCTCCCTCTCCTACGCCAACTCCTCCTCTCCCTCTGCCCTAATGCCGCAGCCCTCTCCCTGTGCCGCCGCCCACAACCCACCTCCTTAACCCTAGCCACCACCTAGAGCCCCCTCCCTGCCGGGCTCTTACAACATAGCCTATTAATGAAGGCGAGAGAGGATTTTTTTGCTCTAAATTAAATTTGGGCATGGGCGTGTGGATGCTTATTTCTGTCTCATGAAAGCCACTTATAGAATTACACCTACTGCTGTGTACCTGTGACGGTATGGCTCATGAAGATCAATATATATGTGGATCAAAGCATTACCCACACATGCTGCATAGATACCATATATGTACTCAGACATTGTGCCCTAGAGTAGCGCTTGGGATATCCAAAAGAACTGACATAAAGGGATGACATATAACACAGAGGCATTTTTATGAGCATATATATATATAGTGCTTCTGCAAACGTGCTTGCTCACTGAGGACTGATGAGCACTAATTGGGTATGGGAGTCATCAGGAATACACTTTGAGTCATATCCCTGGAGCAGCTCCAAGCCAATTTGTGTCCCTGCCAAACCATGATGGTGCTCAGCAGCCTTCAGAAATAGAAATGGCGTCACTTTCGATGGGATCGGAGGTGCTATTTCGTGACAAATGTCAAGCATGGAGCCAGCTGCTGCATCCCCCGATCTTCCAAATGGGTTGCCGGACGTACTTTTCCCAGTATTATTTTTTAAAAAACTCCGAAAACCATTACTCATTACCATTAATGTCATTGGCAGCAAGCCTTCTCGGCATCATATTCATATCAAGGAGGAAGCCTGTATCCCTGTAATGTAAATATTTGCCCCCTATCTGGTATATGCTAGCTTGCCGCAGGCATAACGTCATGTTCTCAATCCATTGCCAAATAGACCAAAACGTATGTACGTCAACTAAACTTGATGAGGAGCAACTTTTTTTTGGCTTGTTGCACTGACGCCGGTCGGCATGTAGGTTATTAGAACCACCAATGTTATCTGCAGTGGCATAGCAAGGATTTGTAACTAGTGGTCCATTGTTAATTTTTTTTTAATGCTATAAGTATAACTTGTTGGCGCATAAGTATGTGAAACACAATAGGATTAAGCTAAAGAAGTCATATGATTAAGCTATATGAAGAGGTCATACGAACATCATAAAACAAACGAGTCTACCTTGCTTAATGTAGAATTACAGATTACATATATCCATAATAAATGTCTGAAGAACAGTATGGCACTATTTTTTCTTCCTGTCAGGCCTATGCCTTCTAATAGCCATGAATGCGTTGATTATATAATCTCACCTTCACTCAATTGTAAGCTCAATAAACGTGTTGATCATCCAAAAGTCTAATGCCCATCTTATTTCTCAATGTATTCTTGAAAAAGGTCATTGCAAAAAATATCCTTTCAAGACTTGCGGTAGCCAGCAATACCAATTTGATAACTAAGAGTAGACCCAATGATAAATTACGCCTCTTTGTTTCAACAAGTTTTACTGAGAGATCAACAAGATTGTTTAGGCTTTTCAACATTTCATCTTTTCTCATGTCATCAATATAGGTTTCATGTTGCAGTTGAAGACTTAGTAAGTTAGATCTTGAAATGTCATTGGGGTAAAATTAAACAAGTCTGTGTATTTGCATCAAAGGAAGCAAAGGTATCGTCTGGACTCAAAGCATCCATACAAGAAAGTGACTCCAAATTTTATCAACGATTCCAATATATACTCCTCTTCTCAAGTGATAATCATTTGCTTGGTTCTAAACAAACCATGTTGATCTTCCATATACAACACATAATGCAACATGAAAGGCATGCTTGTTGCAAAATAATGTAACCCTTCGGAGAAATGAAATCCAGCCTTTAGACCTCAGTTATTGCGTGATCCTTTCCATTCTTCATGAAAGCCACACTTACACCAACCCGTATGTAGCTGTGACATGGCTTATGAAGATCAATATATATGTCGATCAAAGCGTGCCCACCTCCACTCCCACCCACGCACACACACAACAAATAAACTCATCAGAGATATTGGAGGATTAACTCAACTCAACTTTCCATTAACTCAAGAGGTGTTTATATAGAAGTACATGGGGATATGAAAGGGTAGAGAATAATGGAATATAAAGAGACTAGAAACTGATTACACTAACAAGAGACATCGTGCCTCAGAGTAGTGCTTGGATATCCCCAAACAAAACAAAAAACCCTGACATCAAGAGATGACATATAACAGAGGCATTTATATATGAACATACATATTGTGTTTTGTGGCAAACGTTCTTGCTCCTTTTCTGCAATTGGAGACCATGCAAGCATAAAGCATCCAATGAGGACTGATGAGCATCAACTGGGTATGGAAGTCATCAGGAGTATACTCTGGAGCAGGTATATGGTCAGTGGCAGGGTCCCTGGCCCCCATACCACAGTGACAAGCTTTTATACCTCTTAAATAATTTAATATACAATACAACAAATCATCACTTCACTGTTATTCGTGATGTAATATTGTGTTTTTTGTTATAAATATTAACTATTTTTGTATAAGCATTGAAAAAATTGTTGAGACATATACTTAAAGTATATATTTATAGCACTTATAAGTGTCATCATATTATGGCCGGCCCCCCTTAATTAAAATTCCTTCCGCCACTGTCTATGGTAAATCGTATCCCTGCTGATATCCTGTCCACCGGGATGCTGCAATATTGTTTGGGACACTGGAAACACAAAAATGGCGACGCCTAGCGCGGCGGGGCACACACCCAACCTCCACTTGGTTCCAATTGCAATGATATGTTCCTGATTTTCTAGATGGGTTGTGTTGAACGTTGGCGCTCATATGTTTACAATGAACAGTATCCTAGTCACAGCTCTGTTTTGTAATAGTTAATATGATTTTGAGCCATTAATATGGCTTTGAGCCACATAGCACTCAATTATAGCAGACTACTTACAATGAACAGTGAGTGCAAGCAA